ACCCGAGAGGAAATGATCGCGTGTAATATTTGGCGCAATGTGGCTGTACGCTTACACCGAAAAGAACGTTTGCTATTGTGCAAGCACAATTGAAATAAATGCGTAATTTATGACAGGGTATGAGAGGAAGTACTTGGAAATTTATTTCTCTGATGTACGAAATTTATTTTTGTGAAATGAAATGTATTTCTACAAGTTTTATTTCTATGAAATAAAGTTACGTCTCTGTGAATAAACTTTATACCTCAAAAAGTAAATTTTCACGTATTTCTTCTCAACGGGTCGACGTTTAATTAAACGAAATTGTTTTTCTTCTTTTGTTCATCCAAAAGCATTTTTTTCTATATAGTCATAATTATATGTAATTCACAAAGAGAATTATATATAATTTTCTGTATAATCATATATAATCATATATAATCATTTTTTTCTCGGGAAGTTTTATACTTTTTTCATTTTAAAGATAAAAAATGCACCTAGTACAACTGAAAAGAAGAGACCTAATAAATTGGTCCATACAGCATCCTAAGGTGATTTTAAATACAGGGTGCGGCGCCAAAATCCGGACAAAATTCAATTTGAAATTCTCGCCGTTCTATATCACTGGTAGATGTCGCGATTAGCGTTCAAATAGCTTGACGCATGTACTAAACCATCATAGCCTCGAAACAGTCGCAATGTTGAAACCAAGTGCGGAGTATAACCGAAGAGCCGCGATTATCGAAAGTGTTCGCGCTGGGCGCTCGGCGACAGAAATCATTCGGATCTTCGGGTACCCGAGATCGACTGTGTATGATGTCATCGCAAAGTACAATGAGTCGGAGAAGTCCAACGAAGATTTTGCAACACCGGCGAGGAAAATCCACTCGAAGAACGCCCGACATCATTCAACGGGCTCAGGAACTGATTTTTGAGGATCCAGGGCAGCCGGTCCGAAAATTGTCGTCGGTTGTTGGTGTGAGCGAGAAAACTATGCGTCGAATCGTCGAGGAGGACCTCCGCTACAAGTCTTACACAATTAAAGTGAGTCATTTGGTGCAAAATTGGTTGTCGGACAACGTCGACATGTTTTGGTCGAAAGAATTCTGGCCTCCCAACAGCCCAGATTTGAATCCTTTGGACTTCTATGTATGAAGCGTAGTTGAAAGGGTCACGAACAAGTCCAGACATCCAAACGTCGCATCATTGAGAGCCGATATTGAAGCGGCATTCACCGATATGGACCGTGACACATTAAAACGCGCCTGCGCACGCTTCAGACCGAGAATGGAGGCGGTCATTCAAGTAAGCGGGGGATATATTGAGTAAATGTGTCCTTTATGGCCTTACAAACAATGGTTTAAAAAATTTTGTAAACCTTTTCATTTTTACAATAAAAAATATGTTTGGAAAAAATGTATAATTTGTCCGGATTTTGGCGCCGCACTCTGTATAACATCTGACTAATCTGATCGAACAATATTCTAATCTTATATTTAAAATCACGTTCACCTTCTACCCAATAGACCTGATCTTTTTAGCTGAATTTTCAGTTAAATTTAGCTGCACTGAATCTTCTTTTCAAAGCCAAGTTACATACTTCTTTCACCTCTGCCCTTCTCTCTCTCTCTCTCAGAGAAAAAATGCAGTCTAATTCAGCTAAAAAGAACAGATCTAATAAAGTGCAGAATCTTAAGATAAACTTAAAGCAATCTTAAATATAAAATCTAATCGTAAGCGATATTCATAGTCCGATCTTATATTTCAGATAACCTTACATTGATCTTCAAATGACTTAATCGACTACGAATCTCCTGAAGGTAAACTTAAGACGATGTTAAATATCAAATCAAACCATGAGACCGTCCACCGATACGAGAGGAAAATCGTTTACGATGACGGCGATCTAATTATATCGACCGATGAAATGTACGTGAAGAAGTTCGTGCGGACGTCAATAGAAGATCATCAGGAGAGTGAAACGCCGAGGATCACGCGGAAGAGAGCTGTTCCGAGATATTCAGAAACACCGTTTCTCGATTATACGGAGCTTATATTCCATTTGATGCGATTGTAACACGGAACGATGTAAATAATCCCTTACTGGTACGATCATAAAATCGACGGGAGTTATAACAGAGCTATCGCGTGTCGCACAGAACTATTGTTATAAATATCCGTCCAAACTGCGCGACCGCAAGGACACGAGGACTACTTTATCACCGCGTGTTCACTGCAGCGTTAAATTAAAAAAAAAAAATTCTCTTCTACATACCGTGATATATCTTAAACATAGTTTTACATAGCTCGGTATGTATATGTGCTTTCTTTTTCCTATCGTGTACAAAGAGCGAAGATGCGTGTAAAGGATCGATTAACATATGTCGCACCTGTGTGTGACGCCGGTCTGCCGTGAGAACGTCGAGCGCGTCATACATGCCCGACACGGTGCAACGTGCGACTTGATATAATAAATTTTCAACCGCAATAATATCGCGCCATTATATGTCGCGTAATATCGACGCGAAATGGACCTATTGTGTCGAGTGCACGGCAATCGAGCTCGTCTTTTGCACGATTGTGCCCTTTATCCGTCCGAATACGGATGAAAAAAAAGCGTCGCTGATCACGCAACGCTCCCTCTGTCGTTCCCTCTCCTCCCCCCCCCCCTTCTCTCGCTCTCTCGCTCTTTCTCTCGATATACGTTGATTTGCGCGGAAAAATGCATCGTGCTGTAAACGCGACGGCGCGCAAACGTTATACGCATTTTCACGTCACGCGTAAAGCCAAACATCGTAAGCAAACACACAAGCATATCGCGACCATTACGTACCTTAATTGAGGTACCGCGCAAATGATCGCTCGGCACTCCATTCCATACTCCCGATGCGCAACTATCGCGCGTTACACCGTCCGTTAATAATGTAAATAACATGAAATATGGGAAAACCGTTTCGCCGAATACTGAATCGACGTGCTTGCGTATGTACGCGTGTATGTATGTGTGTGCGTGTGTGTTATGTGTGCGCGCGTATAGACCGTTGAGGCGGTGTAATTTCAAATGAAATATTCCGTTTTTTTCTCTCGTTTCTCTGCAAAATTATTTCGTCTCTTTTCTTCGGCGTTTTTTTCCCCGACAAACGAGAAGCGAATTTGCGCGCGGTCTTATAGAGTGATTTATTTAATTAAAACGGATCGAAATTTTTTCAATCTTGCGAAGACTCGCGCTGTCCCTTGAATAATGCCAATTCGATCCGACGACGACGAAATTGATGTTCCTAACTGAGAAACCTTATTTTAGGTAATGTCACCGACCAGGTGTTAAAGATCAATGTAGATCCACGAGAGATTCAGAAATAATAGATACGGATATTATCAACGTTTCGCGTTTGATACGAATATATCTAAGCAATGGCGTTTAGTATAATATTAATTTTGTAATTTATTACTTAGGTCTCTCATAATAATTGGAAATTTATAACTACACAAAAAACTGCTTCTATTGCAAAATCGCTTTTCGTCACAGTTATTGTACGAATTATTCGTGAGAAGCAAAAAAATATGTACAGCGAGTCGCAAAACGATTTAGACACAATGAACTTCAGAGCGTAGCTGATGGTCCAGTGAGAGAACTTATTTTTGACTAATTCGTTCTCTTATTGGACTATTGGCTGCATTCTGAGGTTCATTCTAAAGGTTTTCTAAAGGTTTTCTAAAGGTTCATTCTAAATTTCATTCTAAAGTCCAAACCGTTTTGCGACCTACTATACTCAGATAGCACTTCTAGGTACAATTTCGCGAAAGCATCGGGTCAGTTCAGTCCGAATTTTGAGGCCAACTTGATTATATTGCGGTCAATGGAAACAAATGATACGTTAATCAAGTCGTTGTCCTTCATATCTCAGGTAGCAGAAACTTCTCAAAGACATCCCATGTTTTTCAGGCGTCCTTTAGGCGTCTTTGAGACGTCTTTTAGAAACTTCATCCTGGATAATCCTTCTGAGGTTATGACGAAGGAGCATACGAAACATAATTATCAGTATTGTCATCTGTACTTACCGCACTATAACGATATTGTGCTGGAACGCGCCTTACGGAGGGCACTCGACAACGAGAGGAGACATCTAAGACATCTTTCTAACAAATTGTCGCGAATAAACACACCGATTTTTGTACACGGACTTTTGAACTTTCTTCCTCTATGGGAATATATGGAGAAAAGCGCGGTTATTATGATTCAACGTTCGAATTGCATGCATGTGGCGCCATCCATCGAAAATAGCACCGAACTTTGTAACCCGATACAATACCGACGATGCTTGATATGATACCGACGATTTGAGAATAATTTCAGAATGCCGCAGATTGTTTCAACCATCCGATATAAATAAATAGATGATAAGCGTGTAATGTAGTACTAATTTCGTGATTCATTGTCATATTATTTTAGATGTCTGTATTTTATTATAGTACGTAAACGATGTAGAGAGAGCAAAAAGGAAAGAGAGAGAGAGAGAGACGCACTGTATTTCTGTTCTTTAGACACTCACCGCTTTCTCTTGCCGACTTGGAACATAAATAAAGGTTTCTAATGGTTCTTCTCTCTGGAGAAGTCAACTGATGTAACCATGAAAAGTCTTTCACGAGACAAACCTTCAAAGTACGCGGCGCCAAACCGAAATTCGGATCCGCACCGCAAAAGCCTGAAACATCATGAACAACATAAGATTTCTGATGATTCCCTATTTCCATGTCGTGAGTGCAAATAGACGTGAATAGAGAACTTACATGATTGCGATAGAAAATCGTTGGTTGAAGCAGAAAAGCTTTGAAAGGAGTTGTCTCGTACGGATTCTAACGACTGCTTGCGACGGAATACGTTATTCGCCGCGCAAACTCATTCCGGTTCAACAACTGCGCCTGCGCGAGTTGAGAAAGAGAACTGATATATTCTATTTTCTTTTCTTGTCACACTCAGGCACTCGCTGCGCTCGAGCGAGAGAGATATAAAAGTGAGTTAAAGAGAAAGGAAAAACACTATGTCTGAAAAACGTGAGGATCCACGTGGACATCGGGGTATGCATTAATCTTGTTTGGAAACCAGACGAAAACACGTTATCGAGTTGTTGGTAAATTTACATAAAATGTTTATTTATAATTGTGAAGAGTGATTCCACGTACTGTATGTGTACACACCATCAAAGATAAATTAATATATAGCGAAGTATATTTCTCACGTATATTATAGTTTTACAAATTCTACATAAATATATAAGTTCGTCTAATCTTATCGTACAATATAATTTAATCCTTTCACGCGTTTACAACACGATTTTTTTATCAATTGTGACGGAAAAAGAGATTGTTGAATTACAGCTGTTGCAAAGTGTCGATCGAATCCTTCGGAACGATGACTTCGGAAACGCGCAAGAAGGATGTTCTGCAAGCTCTCATTCTTGCGGACGAGTTCACAACAAGCTTGACTCCCTTGCAGAAATTATATCCGACTATTCTAATGCCTGTGATACACGCACCACTTCTCGATTACACGATCGAAACTCTAGTAAAGTCGAGTGTGGAAGAGGTATTTCTCTACTGCAGCAACCATGTGGACTTGCTCAAGGAATATATAAAGAAAAAGAATATTGATGATATTACGATTTCTCTGATCATCTCTGATGGCTGTAGATGTCTTGGAGATGCTCTAAGGGATGTTTACGCCAAGAGCTGTCTCAGAGGAAACTTCTTATTGATTCGTGGGGATGCATTTACAAATACAAATCTTAAACGCTTAGTCAATACGCATCGTTCAACTGTTGAGAAAGATAAAGGGGCAACTATGACTATGACACTGCGACATCTTGGCCCTACCACAAACACTCCCTTCGATGAAGAAACAACACTGATTGTTTGCGACAGATCCAGCAATAAGATGCTGCATTATGAAAAGCTGAGAGATAGTGAGAAGAAAGTGAAGATGAAAATGAGCTGGTTCTTGAATCACAATGAAGTACGAGCTTGTACAGATTTCTTGGACACACATGTGTACATGTGCTCACCGTCAGTCTTGTCACTCTTTGCTGACAATTTTGACTTTCAGGTAATTTGCTCGTAACATTGAGAAAATCAAGTTTTTAGCAGTTACCTTTTAACATATTAAATATGAAATGAAAATTTGGTGAATGAATGAAAGAAAAATATCAAATTTATGTTACTCTATAAAAAAAATAGATATTTAACTTATAGTCTTCTGTACAAAAAACATTTATGTTTATATACCGTACATACAGAATATCTAGCAATTATTGACACACCTATTGTATACAAATAAAATTCATCAAACTGAACACAAAAATCCTCTATCATTTTGCAAACAATCATGTTCACTTAAATTTTGAGTTATAAATTAAATAAGACTTTTCCCAACTCAAAATTTTATATAGTTGTTTAGGAAATGATAGAGAAATTTTATATTCAGTTTTTATCTGCACGCAACAGGTATGTCAATAATTGTCAGATAATTATATGTGTGTATAAATATATGAAAATTTATCTAATTTATAACAGAAAAAACATCCAATTTATATTCTTTTAGATTTATCTAATCTGTATTCTTATATTTTAGACCATGGATGATTTTATACGTGGAGTACTGTTGGGCGACGAGATTTTAGATTCTAGAATTTACTGGGAAGAAATATGTCCAGAAGACTACGCCTTAGCAATACCATCATGGAAAATTTATCATACACTCATCAAGAACGTTTTGTGTAGACAGAGCTACCCTCTCGTGCCAGATGGTTTTCCCTTTTCCAAGGATATTATATATAGTGTGCTAAATTTCGCGTACAAGCACAAAACCGCTACTCTCTCTAAAGGTTGTATTCTGGAGGAAGAGTGTTTTGTTGGACAAAATAGTATATTAGGGGACAATACTACAGTTGGAAAATCTGTCATCTTGGATAATTGTGTTATAGGCAGTAATGTTTATTTACGTAATTCTTATGTCTTCCCGAATGTCAATATTGAAGACAATTGCACCATCACGTGCAGTATTATATTTCCGAATTGCATCATCAGGAGTGACAGTAAAATAGATGCATCTATACTGTGTCCTGAAGTCGAAGTCGCGGCTAACGACAAGTACAACGATCTCTTTGTCGAATTTTCTGATCAATTGACCACCAAACTGTCAGAGCTAAATGGTATCGATGGCTTTTACTATTTTAAAAGCAATAAAATAGTCGAGGACGATAATAGTTCGATTGAATCGTCAAGCACAGAGTTGCCTCCCTGCGAATCGCCGGACGACATGAACATGTTTCTGTCCGAAGTCATCGATAGCTTACTGCGTGGTTATCAGGACAAAGTGAAGTGCGAGAACTTGATCCTCGAGATCAACTCTTCACGATACGCTTACAATGTCTCTGTCCGCGAGGTCACGTACAACGTCATCAAGGCGATCCTGAGTTTGCCGTTGCATTATCTCGCCGAGACCAACGACACGATCAACAATCAGAGTTATCAGAAGCATTTGAAAATTATGCTGTCTTACTTCCGCGCGATCATTCAGAATTACGTGAAAAACGAGGACGCCCAAGACGACTGTTTACGCGCGATAGAGGATGTTGCGAGCACGATCGATGAATTGGTATCGTACATGGCGCATCTTTTGCATAACTTATACGATCATGATATATTGTCGGAGGAAAAGATCTTGGAATGGTTCGAGTCTGAAATTGATGATACGTATCGAGTAAAAGTCAGGGACGCCGTTCTACCCTTCATCAAGTGGCTGAACGAGGCGCAGGAGGATTCCTCCGACAGTAACGACACTCAGTAACAAAATCTCTCTATATGTCAGGAAATTCTATGATTTTTTATAGAGAGAAGAGTTTAAAATGTTTACGACGCTCGGAAATCGCTCCCTAAGACTGATATATTTTATTACAATCGTTTCTCTAATGCTACTCTGATCAGCGCAACATGATATTTAACGCGTTGCAAATCAATATATTGATGATATATTTGATCCGTGCAGAATAAAAAAAAATTGGTTTTTATTTAATGAACATCATTTGAATTTGTGATTTCTAAAAAAACAAGTGGTATCTTGTATTTACATGATTAGATCAAATTTCACTTTTGGATTTCAACCAATATATGATACTTTAATAACGGAATTCGGCAGCTCACACTGAGTGTTCAGCATCACTCGGCCTCCTGTCACAGTATTTTCGAATTATTATATTTAATTAAAGCGCTATTATGTAATTTTTGTGTAGTATTCGACAAACGAAAACTGTTCCATGTCGACAACCACATTGTGTCGCAACTGTTTTATGATTACACTTATAAGTTACAGTTGTACACAATAACGATCCCGCTGTGCGTGTTGAATTTGTGTTCAGTCAAATAAAACAAACTAAATAAAAGTAAATTATTATATCAAATTTTTGACATCGTAATTCAATGGCGATGAATAATATACGCAAAATATAAAATAGTAGATGGAAGGAGGAAGAAGTATACGTCGCTATAAACGAGTAATAACGACAAGTGCAGAATACATTTTGATATTAATTGCATTTGTGTGATAATCAATATCAGGAATTTGAGAGCCAATCTTAAGCGACTTTTTTTATGGAATATAATTGTATCAAATTTACCTGCGATACGTTTTATATTTGATACAGAAAATCGTATTTAGAGTTTGAAAAATAATCAAAAATCGAAAAACTATCAAGATTTTCTTATGGTAGGATGTGTGTATAAAAATTTAGTTATTTATGTTGATTTGCATACGATATAAATTGTTTTATAATAATATTTAACATCCCCAAAGCTGTGATCTTATTATAAATTTAATATAACTCATTATTTAATTTTATATAGTACAGTTCCTCTGAGTATCTAATAAGTAACATTCATATAAATGATGTGTGTGAAGGTTTTTAGCGATAATAAACTAAATAATTAATAACAAGTTTAATTATTTTTAATTAATCAAAAAAGAGTGGAATGCGCTCTAATCTTCTTCATTAACTATCATTCGTTCATCTAAATGGTCTTGCTCCGTATGTAAAGTTGTAGATTTTAATTTCTCGAAATTTGCTTCAAATTTTTCATTTAGAAGTCCGTTTTCATCGGCATATTCCAATATATCACAGATTAACGGTGACTCAACTCCTAGAATGTATTCGCAAGTTTTTGGTTCCAACAAAAATAATGATACACTAGATGGGCTTGCCATATGATTTTCCACACATTTAAGTTTTACCTAAAATATATATAAACAATTCAGAATATATAGATATTTTCTGCTTATAACACTTTGTATGAACAAACTCTTAAATCAAAACTAGAAACAATGACTATCTTCTTTCAAACCAACGATACTCTGATTTAAAATAACAGCACTTACTTCCGTTTGCCTGGAAGTTCCAGTCTTATCACAGTTACTGCCTTCGCTATAAAAGTGTGACAGATGCTTTCTTAACTCTAGCGATTTGGGTTTTTTATTTGGATGCGTTGCTATCCACTCCAAATGCTTTTCTTTGTCGAATCTACCAAGATTGACAATGGTTTTCGTACCATCTTTTTCTATGTGATACTGGACGACAGAACGCCCGTAGCAAAACTCATACTTCCACCAGCCATTGCCCTAATAACGTATTTGAAACTGTTAACATTACATTCACTGAAAATAATGCAAGCTGCAACTATAAGTACTTGCCCCGTGCAGGCAATTTTTCCCGCTGAGGAAATTCTGTACGGGACTGACTTCGGCAGGACTGATACTCTGATCAGTTAGCGCATTAATAGATTCATCAATATTTCCATGCTTATCTGTAACATCCAATGGACGTATTTCAACCCTTACTCTTGGCTCACCATCCTGCAACCAATTAATTACAATGTATTTGATGTAAAAAGTTGTACGCGTAAGTATATACATATAATTTATATTTATGAAGAGAGATTCCATCTCTTCAAATCTCAAATTCTTTGGAATCTTCAGTTGGAGGAACAGCTAAAGACCAGCAGGCCTTCTGCTCTGCATAGTCCTCTGCTATTTCTAGCTGTTCTCCAAACTGAAAATACCAAAGAGCTCAAGATGTGAAGATACAGAGAAGATTAAAACCAACGTGATGAAGCATTTAATAGTGATCACAAAAAGTGACGATGAAAAATGCTTTTGGCAATAAAAGGATCATCGGAACAAGTGTGTAGAGTCAGAAGAAGCCTGCTTCGAATGGAATTATGTTTTTAACTCAAAAGAAAAGCTGGTTTTTTCAGCCATATGTATTTTTTCGATTTAAACGAACATACAACTTGTATAGGGCCCTTTACTGATATCTACAGTCTCCATTTTTAATATAGTAGCAGAGACTCATCAATTTGAAATATAACAACATTGATAAAATAATAATGAATGAAGTGTCCATATATGTAGATAAAGAGGGGACAGAATAAAAAGACAATAATATAAGCTGATGATACTTGATAATGATTGCCAAGCATTGGTTCCTATATATGCAAAATATTCTAACCTGGCCCTCCTTATCTAAACGGATAATTGCATACACTTTCTGCTGCTTGTCATCCTGTGTAAAAAATGATTAAGGCAGTAAATAAATAGTAAACAAACTGGAATGAGAAAAAGAAGAAATTATACATACAATGCCTAAAAGAGAAGTTATAAAGGATAAACCAAAGAATAAACCAAATAATAAATATACCAGTGATAGAAGCAATTTTCTATTGTTTCACAAGGTTTCCAAGAGACATATAATCACTATTACATTTAACTGTATCATATTTAACTGTGCAACATAAACATGCACTATTAACACACAGGATACTTTTGCAAGTTTTACACAAGAGTGTTACATAAAATATTTCAGCTTTAGAACAATAAAAACTTCAAAAACTACTACTAACACACCACGTAACAATAAATATACAAAGTGTTAAACAAGCAAAAAAATGTAACATTAAATAAGAGTAAATAGGAATAATTAAGAAAAACCTGACGGTACAAAGTAGCTTTTGTAAGTTTACCCTTGCTTGCTGATGTCGCATTTTGAGACTTTCTAACTCCATTGACATAAGTGCTTTTGGCTTCTTCGGTGCGGTGTCAACAGGTAGACATGTAATTTCATTTTCTCCTGTGTCCTGAGGCTTGTAATCTGGATGAGTACATAGTACTGGTGAAAGTATTATCGCTTCATACTCGCAAGATACAGTTTCCTTGAGCGAATATACATCATGTTTGCCATGTTTATAACAGATATACAATACTTTGATACTTCTTGGTTTATTATTCAAATCACAAAGTGTCCCATCAGTCATTTCAACTTCAACATATGGCATATTGATCCCATCAATTTTCTTAACTGGAATATTTAATTTCCTATTAGGATTCTTTGCTTGATCATCATAAGTATCAGAAAGTTTCATTTTTTGTGCTTTATCCAGAGTGCCAAGATAATATTCTTGCATCTTTAGTTTCTTTCCTTCTCTGTCTTCATGATATTGCCGTACATATCGACCATGACATAATTCATAAGTCCAATATGACTCCAGCTATTATACAAATTCATTTTGAAATAAATTATACATCAAATACATAATTATACATTAAATGATGATATTTATTAATGAAAATATTTACTAAAGAAATCAAAAGGTCATATAATAAAAATTCTACAAACTTCTACAAACTCTAAAAAATATACATACTCTATAAGAGCAACTATTCTGTGCAAATATCGGTTGCAAAAGTTGTATTGGATTTGGTCCAATGTATAAGTCACTGTAGTCATGTTCTTGTTCTATTGCTTCTGGAATTATACACTTGTATCGTTCATTATTCGCTGTAGTTATATAATACGGTTCTACTTTCGAATGAGATTCCTAAGAAAAAAAGAAATATGTATCAGAAATCCTACTAGACAGCTGTCATATAATGTTGTCAGTTATAAAAGTAATTGTCTGATTTAACAATATACAAAACAATTTGTCTACTATATTTACCAAAAAATCTGTGTTGCTCTTTCCAGGCCAATTAATTTTGAATATAATCGTGTCGTCGAAATTCCGAAAATCGTGTGCATGTATAATGGATATTAAAATGCACAGTACATGGTAAATAGCCCAATTGTTTCCCCACATCTCGATTATTTTATCATGTTATGTTTTCTGCATATAATTATATTTTAATTGTGCAACGGACGCGCACTTGCCCGTCAAGCCGCTTCCGACTACTTACGACGATACAATAAAATAAAAATAATATTTGCAAACAACTTGCCGCAATTGTATACGTAAGCATAAACTCATCGGTCTACAAGTACAGCGAACAAATCTGATTTGATTTTGGGGACCTCATGTAGCGAAAGAACGAAACTTCGTATTCAGGTCCACCAATATAAATATGTCCAGATATCTTTTTAAAAATGACCTGGATTGCATTCTAAAACGTCCTTTTTCAGGAAAATTTTACTCAATATATATAATTTACGTCACATATACTATAGAGTATCGAATAAAATTTTTTCAAAACGGACGTTTTGGAATGTAATCTATGACTTTACATGCCCGTTTCTACCAACTTTGGTTAACTTAACTGGCTGGTTATTCCAAAGGAATTGACCAATCGCATTTCTCGATAGTCAGAATTGACAGATGCAATTGGTCAATTCCGTTGGAATAACCAGTTAATAATCCCTTGTCCACAACCTTGCTTTAATCTTTAAGCCGTAAGAAATTGACCAACCACAGTCGATTATTTTAAAAATAATCAGCTGTGGTTGGTCAATTTATTACGACTTAAAGATTAAAGCAAGGTTGTGGACAAGGTTGGTAACAGTCATATGACTCCTGCACACCAGACGCAGTTATGCTTGCCACGCGGCGGAAGTTCGCGCGATAGCTAATCAATATGCTGCTTTCCGTAATAACCTTGTAGCTCTTACGGAAAAACAACATATTAATTGGCTGTCGTGCGGCAAGCATTACTGCATCCTGTGTGCAAGAGCCATTACGCTATTTCTTTCTCCATCTGAACGCACCCTAAGGCAAGATCTATTTAACGCTGCAAACGCTTCGAAGCGCCCGTATAGACCATATAGACCATATAGACCAATCACAACCTTTCTTTATGCGTTCTAAAGTAGCCTTAAACAAATCCTATAGTTTAATAGAATTGTTAGAATACGTAAAAACGATTAATTGAACAAAGATAAAATCGGCAAGAACATTAATTAATTGGAAAGGAAGTATCAGTTATTTCGTTTAATCAATAAACATCATCCATGCCTACCGCAACAATTTTGACCGCCATTTTAGTTTGTCCGCCTTGTAAAGTATAAAAGACAACGATATTTTTCGGATATTGTCATATAGTTACTGTATTTAATCAGGACATTTTCTCCTTTTTGTAGGATTTAAAGTTATCGGGAAAGAAAGCAATAGATCTGTTGCTTTTAAATTATTGATTATTGCAATAAGTTTGACCCAACATTTCGCCTTAACCAGCGACAAGCGTGCATACGAAAATGGTGAGTCTTGATTTGTTTTGATCACTTAAATAAGTCCTTTACATTGTATCTTCTTTTGTGATAGATAACTTCCTCCTGTATGGCAATCTCTGTGTGTATGATCCTTTACAACTTTATTTTTCATCCGTACATGTGAAATATATCGCGATAATGATGATATACAAATTACACCATAACCTACAACTCGAGATATTTCTATTCTCGCATGAAAATTAATGAAATTCTCGCACATATTTTATTAATTAGATGTCACAAGTGTAGAAAAAAAGAAAATTATAAATAGAAGTTCACACAATTTGTTTTTTTGTAGTAAATTCGTTTCATCATTTTTTTCATTTGTTTAATTTCAGAAGTCTGGTCTTTATAGCTACATCATTATGCTTCTTACTTGACACTTACTTTCCTACTAGCTATATTCAACAGAAGTTAGTGCAACATTAATTTAATTAGGTTTTACTAAACATTCTTTCAAACAATTACAAATGGTTATAATTTTCAACAAGAATTTTTATTAAATGTCATATATTAGCAAGCGTATAAAAATAAAATTGTATATATTTATTTAATATTTAGTAGAAAAGAGGAAAAAAGAAAAAAATTGTTACAAAACATAATATATGCAGCTATAAGGAACTGAATAAGAATATTTGTATGGATAATATTATTTATAATCTGAACAAAAAATCAAGGAAATTACATTATGCTTGATATATTATTTGAGGTTTTTCAGATTATAACTATATATATATGCATGCATATAAAATTTATGATCTACTATATCTACTAATTTTATGCTATTTATTGTTATTTTATTTTAGTCTCATACAATACTACTTGTACAGCCTGGTCACAGACCTGAAACAAGGACATATTCGGATTATGAAAGCGTTAATGAGTGCATGGAAGGTAGTATCATAACTTTATAATATTTTAAAGCATAGTAGATACAGTGTACTAATTCATGTAAAATATAGAGATTACGAGGGATTTTTGAATTTAATATAAAATTTAATATTGTAAGAATTTTATACCTATATTAATATATGTTCCCATCTCAATATGATCTATTTGTTAATTGTAGGTGTTTGTAAAATTTATGAAGAACATCTGAAAAGACGAAACCCAAATACACCAACTATTACCTATGACATCAGTCAGTTATTTGATTTTGTCGACCAATTAACGGACTTATCATGTCTTGTATACCAAAAATCAACCAATACATATGCCCCATACAATAAGGACTGGATTAAAGAAAAAATATATGTATTACTGCGTAGAGCTGCAGGGCATAACGAGTAAATAATACATAAAAATAGATATATATGTTTACATGCATAAGATAATTTTAAGTACACAATACAACCTTATTACCTTGTAATAAATGCATAAGTTATATTATTTTAACATGATTGTATCATACACCTTTCCTTTTGCAAATAAAGTGTATTATTTACTGTTAAAATTAATTTTTGTGTAAAATACATATCAATATGACAATATTCTTTTTGATGATATATAACATATATTCAATATGATTACATACAAATATAAACAGACTCATAGAGAAACATGGTTATTCTGTTCTGTTTACTGGCTCTGTGAAAAATATGGTTATTCATTTCTTTACCTTCAGGTATGGACTTGTAGAAGTACACTCGACTTTTTGCCGAATCTCCAAACTTTAGCGACATATCTATGAAATACTATCGTGAAGCTAGAAAGCCTCATAGTAGAAGAGTGGCAAACTCTATCACGTGACCCCTCTCTTCTGACTGGTTGTGGGCGTCAAGGTTTCTTGTGCTTATGAAGGTTGGTATTCATAATCAAATCTTAAGTCTGTTCTTTGTAGCTGCACTGCTGAACTAGTGCAATAAGTTAGAGTAAGAAAACGTATATTTGTCTTACTTCAATATATTACACCAGTTCAGCAGTGCAGCTATAAAGAACAGGCCTCTTATATTTAAGAACGTCTTAAATTTATCTTTAGATGATGTACGAATCATTTAATTGGCTACGGAATATCTGAAGATGAACGATCGGAATAATTCTGTTTCCCCTAGAAAAGAATAGAAACCTAGCAAATAACTAAATGTTTCCGATCGGAATTGATTTCGAAGAAGTCCATAATAGGTATCCAGGCCCGAACTTGTTCGGACACGTCTAGACGTAACGGCTGGTTAGGCCAGAACTACGGAACGATTAACCTAGGGCCAGTCGAACACGCTATAAAGCCCGTATCAGACTATAGATTAGGATTGAGATTGAATTAAAATTGAGCCAATCAGAGCAAAATTCATTAGGCTTAAGTTTGGTGAACTTTCCTCTGATTGACCAATTTTCAATTCAATCTCAATCTTAATCCATAGTCTGATACGGGCTTAAAGCGACGCAGTGAGATCAAGGACATCAGTAGTGTCCCTTTCTTGTTACACTTGTACACTGAAACATATGTTGTCGTGACGTGACCGGCATGTTCGGCATGCTCGCGCAGCGGTCTGGTCGTGTTTAAGGTGCGCGGAGATGTTCCTCAATCGTATTTACTTGTAATTTCGCATTTCACTTTCTCTGCTTTCTCGCGATCGGCAAGATGGTCAACGTGGTGCGTACAATAAACGATGAAGATCTGCACGCACAGATCAACGACATTGTTTCTCATGCTGCCAATTCTGCGTTCTTGCGCGGCGACAGGCTTTTCCGAATCGGAGTATCAGGTAAGCACAAAAAAGAAATCATGAGTCATGTATGTATCGCAGCATAAATCTATTCTTTCAGCAAATTTTTTCACATTACCAAAATAAAAGGCAAATGTTTGAAATAACAATTTTGACAAAGTTTCGTTTAAGTTTATGCATATTTGACGTGTTTTAACTCGAAAATAATGATTCCAAAAATTTAAGGAGGTAGGAACACACGTTACGTGATACAAATACATCTGTTCTTGTGTAGGTGGATATGTAAAGGTGATTTCAAGGTTAACTTTCATATGTTTTAAGCACTGTTAAATAAATTTTACTGTCGTATAAACGCAGACATATACTGAACAGTTCAGGAGGGGGAGTTTTTTAAATTACAATTTATAAGATGCTGAATAAATATTTTTACTTGTTCAGGAGGCTCAATGGTAGATGTGTTAGCAACATGCTTGCCAAAGATCACAACTGACTGGAGCAAATGGCGTATCTTTTTCTGCGATGAACGGATCGTGGAGCCAAATGACCAGCAGTCCAATTTGGCACTCTACAAGAGCAACTTCATCGGCAAAGTGCCAGTTACTGAGGAACAGTTTATACAAGTCGATCCCAAACTTTCTGGTATACCATTTTTTATTCATTTTATTACTCCTATTTGCTACTAGTTGTGTATTTATGCGCATAAAATGCCCCATTTATCACAAACCGTTCACATATTTGTCACTTATTAAATCACTCATGTGTCATCTTTCATACACTTGTTACTTTTAAAGACATGGAAAACAGTTCAACAAGGACTGTTCAGCAATGTAAAAGTTAGAAGAAGTCAGAAACCTTGCAGATATATGAAGCAAGTGGGGAATATAACGAAGTAATATTTTTATCGATGCTCAAAGCCGAATGTTCTAAACAATAGGAGCAAGCCCTTAAAGAAAAGATGGTAATAGTCCACAATAGGGGAGGCAGCTCTGATCAGTCTGACCTTGACATATGTCATACAAAAGAAACAACTGCTTGAATTGTCAGATTTCAAATTTGTTAATGATCTTCTTAACAAACAGTGGGAGAGAGACGTCTACAGCTCTTTGAAGCTTACTCAGGAATATGACCTTGACAACATATGTTATGGTCAAGATGATCGAACCTGGCTGTGCATATCTAAATACTTACTGATGGTTTTATAACCAAAAAAATAAAACTTTTCTTTTTCTTTTATAGCTGAAGACGCGGCGACGGATTACATTAAAAAGATTTCGTCGTTCTTCCCACCGGACAGATTTCCTCAGTTCGATTGCTTGCTACTAGGCGTGGGGCCTGATGGACATACATGCTCGTTGTTTCCGAACCACACGCGCGCTCTTGAAGAGATAAATATGTGGGTCACCTGGGAGATGGATGCGCCTAAACCGCCGTCTTGTAGAATCAGCCTCACCCTACCGGTCATTAACAATGCCCGCTTATGCGCTTTCATCGTTACCGGCTCTTCCAAAGCCGACATTGTGAAGGTAATAATTCATATGAATATTTCTCATATATTTCTTTGCATCTTGTATGATAAAATGAGTCATATCTACTTAAAAAAAACATTATTGATTGTACATTATTATCAGATTGCCTTATGGACTATATATCACTTTCTGAGATATCAGTTTATCATGTGTTTGGCATATGGTCTCATCACATATAATTGTATGTGTGTGTTGCACTTATATTTTGAATTATTAATATTTATGTTCGCAGAGGATATTAGAGGTCAAGGAGGATCTACCGGCTACCAGGGTACAACCGACCGACGGTCTTCTCTATTGGCTGCTAGATAAAGACGCTGGCAGTTTGCTTGACAGCACACCGCAATCTGAGACTGATAGCACGACCAACGAAAGCACAGTACCTGAAAAACTTTAAGCAGACATCTGTAGTTTTGGAGTGGTTGGAGAACAAAAGATTTTATGACACTTTATATCTAAGTCATCTAAAGACATTTTATCACGATTCTTAATACATTCCGAACTATTCGTTAGTAACTAACGTAAATATTGTACACATGCAGTCGGATATATCGTAATACCAGAAAATGGTCTACCGAGTCTTAACTATTAAAGCAAAAATTAATATTTGTATTACTGTGGAATTTAATATATGATTAAATCAACATTTTCTAAAGAACTAACTTTATAGTATCTTTTTTTTATTAAACCTTTTATCCAATAGAATTAATTTTATTAACCAAATTTATTCACGAAAATATAGCGCACACAAAAAAGTCTCTCCTTTATCCTCTCCTTCATTTTTCGATGATTTAATTTTAATATTTTTGACGTAGAATAATGAAAGAACTTGACTGAAGATACTAATCTTTACAAGAGTCGAAATTGACCTCGAAAAAAAAGACGAGTTTAAATTTTAGCGCGATAGTATTTTCACTCACTTTATAATTTTGCACATACACGAAAATTTGCTTTTAACAATTTTATTTGACGTAATTCTATTAAAATATCAGGCTCTTAAACCTTGCCACTTTATGGATATATTTTACATGAACAATCCGTCCATATACTTGATATATATATTGACATCGATATTCTATCCTTGACAAACCCAATTAATATAGAAGAAAACAAAAATCTAAACTCTGTCTATCACAAAGATCTTTTTAAGTTTTTCTACAGCAAAACATAGCAATAGAAAACTTCATTTAGCGTAAAATAGTTTTAAATAATAAAACATTTATTAAGAGCCGATTTTTCGGTTCTTCTTGTTCCAAATTCTTGCATAATTATTTTTTGATAATTGTAAAGCATTTTTTTTGTAGACTTTCATAACATGGAAATACATTAGAATCCATTCACGTTTTTTTAATTCATCGAACAGTATTCTGTATATGGCAACGAGAAGAACATTTTCAACGATATTTGTAGCATATAATGAGAAACAATGTACAAACACTTCTTATATTATTTGAACCATATGACTTTTAATGTATACAAATACCAACACAGATAGAAATAATCAATAATGAAGTGACACGTTAATCAAGTCGTATCCAGTCGTATTCAGCCGAATTCGACGAATTTTTAAAATCGATTTTTTTTCGAACAAAACCTCGGTTTCGAGAACAATCTTATTTCACATCTTTTATTAATTTTCACATAAAAATTTGCAACCTTTCCGCGAATTACATCTCACCCCATATATTTATTGCTTTCATGTATATCACGTTATCGCTAATACTTATCTGTGCGGGTGAGTATTTTTTTTATGACTAGTATGAACGGATCGTTACGATTCATAAGGTCGGGGAGCGTAATCACAGGTAGCACGAAAATCTGTAATATACGCATTATAGTTGTGCTTAGCTATTTACATTACTTAATAATTAATTACGCGCGGATAGAATCGTGACCGACAAAGCTGAAATTATCGCACGCCCATCGAAAGAAGGTCGAATGAATTTTTTATACTTCATCGCATGGACTATGTCTACCTTCGCTGTTTACCCTCGCCCCGATAACGCGACAGTTAACGCTCTAACGTGCTCGTGAAAAGTGCGGATCGATGCTTTTCCACTTTTCTGCGTCACGTTTATGTGCCCGGTAAAATTAAAAAAATCGTGACTGGTGATTTCGAACTTCGATTCCTCTACAATTGTGTCGGCCGATTGCTCGGCTGAAGATGAAGAAAATCAAGTCTCAAATTCGAGATAAAGCAGTGGTCGAGCGATCGTTATGGGATATTATAAAGAAACAAGCCGCCGAATTTTGTCGGGAAACTGCACTACACGGTTGTAAATACATCAGTCAGTCTCAACGTTCCAAGGCGGAGCGGTAAGTGCAGATCGTCCGATCTTAATTCTTTATCTTAAGGGGACTAGAGGTTTAGATTGCCTGAAAATTATGCTTGTTTTTTCACAATTTTTTATGACAAACTGAACGAATATGCGAAAGTGTTATTTTGACGTGTATTTATACAACATATAAAGAGAAGAACAATATAATTTTGATGAACAAATACTCAGTATAAGTGTATGGTACATGCAGTTAAAATATATTTCGATTTTTTTTCAAGGTTGTCATTTTGCAGTAATATCTTGACTCTCAGTCTTCAATTAAGCTAAATTTTAGGTAGAAAATTTCCGTAAGCTTGTCATTATCAGATGAACTACTGACAAACTCGTGAAAATATTTAATTTTGAAATATTAGTTTTTTTACTATAAAAAATCTGAAAATTTTAATAATATTCCATTAAGATATTTACAATTTTGTTAACTTTTATTCAATTTCTATTATAGTGGTTCACCCGATAACGACAAGCTTATGAAAATTTTTTACCTAAAATTCACCTTACTTGAACCACCGAGAGTCAAGATATTACTGCAAAATGACGACCTTGAAAAGAAAAACGAAATATATTTTAACTGCATGTACCATACACTTACATTGAGTATTTGATCATCAAAATTATATTTTTCTTCTCTTTATATGTTGTATAAATACACGTCAAAATAACACATTTGCATATTCATTCAGTTTGTCATAAAAAATTGTGAAAAAACAAGCGTGATTTTCAGGCAATCTGACCCTCCAGTCCCCTTAATGCGACATTCTTTGACACATTTTGACCGTCGAGACTCTAATAGTTTTGAAATCGCAGTCCATCCAAGTGTGCATATGTTTAGAAGAAACATATTTTCAAAAATATTTTTGGATCTCGTCACTCAACTACGCAAAAAAGAAAATCTTTGCTTGTGTAAGAAAATAGGGATTAATAGAAAACTCAGTGATGAGAAAACTCAGTGACGCTAGCTCTGTTGTCGCGGCCGAAAATATTTGTTTGAACATTTTTAGCTACGTTAAATCAGTTGAGACATATTGTTGAGATACGATCGAAATATACTGTACAATATTTAAATTTTGTTATTCACTGTTACTTAAATTCTATTATTCATTAAACTTACCAGGGAAAAATGTTTATATATAGATTTTGTCCCCCTCCCGTTCCATATATGGCCATATATAATTATATATAATTATATATCTCCACATTGAAAAAAATGCTATCATTGATCAAGAATTTTTATCGCATATTTAGTATCACTTGGGCACTAGTGATATTTATATCGTTATGCTGTGCTGCTGTTTTAATGAAAATGACTTGGAATTATTACGCCACCCACCCGACACTAACTGTCATTGAATCAACACACCATGGAATATGGAATTATCCGTTTCCCGCGGTAACAGTGTGCAATATTAATCGCATCTCATACAACTTAACTAAAGAATTCATCAACAAATTGTGAGTATTTCGTACATTTTGTTTATATATACAAAAATGTTCAGTGGCATAACTTATGGATATCAACATCCGCACTCTTGATCCTTCCTTTTGTCTGTTTTATATTCAATCGTCTAATTTGACCTTTTCCTAGGTTTTGAACAGTGAATTCACTGTTTTGTTTTCGGTAGATGCTTCTCACTTATATATTTTTTCAGAAAAATACCAGCTAATGTCTCAAAGCAATTTTTGCTGAAAGAAATGCGGCTAATGAATGAGTTGTTAGTACCGGGAGTATTCGGATACGATGTTCGAAGAAATCTCACCCGTCTACAAGACATCATAGATCATAATAATTTATCGGTTCTCGACGTGATGAGAATGGTATGTGTTGAAAATATTTGTGTTTATGTAATGATATCATAAATTAAATGATAAAATATTTGGGGAAATATACGTTGATGTTAATTCTTCTGTCACTTTATATTTGCAAATTTCTGTTGATAGTGACGCTAACTATTACCATTCTTTTGTAAAAAAATTTATCTATCATTATATTATATGTATATCTCGTATAATATATAACTAAAAATAAAATAGAATGAGGCGAATCAAGATAAATTTTCACAGACAATTGTCGTTAATTTGTGATTTCAAACGGCAACTATTTTAAAATTTATTTGAATTCAATTTGTTTCAGTTTAATTGTAATCTAATCTAATTCTCTTTCATCTTATGAGACAATATGCAGAAGAAGCAGTTATAAAGTTAATTCATTATATTAACGTCCTATGTTTCAATTCAACTATCCTAAAAGATCAATTGCATCTTTTCTAGATAACAAAAAATTGCAGTTCTCTAATGATAACATGTAAGTGGAAAGGCATATTGATTCAATGTGACAACCACTTCAAGCAAAGTTTATCACGCGATGGTTTGTGTTGTAGTTTCAATTACTACACTTCTCCAGGGATACCTAAAGACGAGTATAAATGCACATTAAACTTTCTAGACTTATTACCCAGATAGAAAAATGTGTTCATTCTGAGCTCATATTGTATTCATGTATCTTCAAACATGAGAACAAGAATAGACACCGATGCGGGCTCATATGCGCCTCAGAATGTAGACATGTTATGATGTCACAAAAATACCTCATTTAATAATAATAATCAACATCATGTCAAGAATTTGCAACATAATTTGTACATCATTTGTGTGTATCTGGTGCTCATGTCATGAAATCACGTAATGATCTTTAAAAAAATATCAAATTGGAGTCATAGTATGAAGTCACATTGTGATGAAACATGATCATCACGCATTTCTATCTGGGTATTTAAGGTTTAATTGTGATAAAAATATTTAGAGTCCATAAATTTTAAAACCTGGACATTTTATTTATCATACATTTATATTGCGTCAGGCTTCGTGAATAATATAGGTTCTTGTTATTAAAGAATCCACAAAACTGCCTCCTGCGGGTACACGACTGGTATGTCCCTATTTTTAAATCCTGAACCTAGTGATTATCATGCTACGCTTATCGGATCATATGGAGTGAAGGTAATTTAATTGAATTTACAAATTATTTGTGTTTGTGTCGCAACATAATTTTTTAAATTTATTTATACTTATTATGTATAAAAATGGGTCTTTTATAAATAAAATACCTCAAAGATAAAAAATTTCTGAAATCTATTAAAAACAATATTTTACACACAACCAGCACACTTAGGCGCATACAAAATACACTCCGCTCCATTTTGAAGCTTCTTCAAGGACAAGTTTCGGAAAACGAGTAAAATCGAGAATCGCAAAAGCACTTAGTGTGTCCGTGTCTCATTAAAACGCAAGCTATCGTACATATCTCTTGTACTAATTGTGCCAAAATACTCCACAGATTTAAAATGAAAGTCGATATTTCTGGAAGTTGTTTCAATGAAATATGCCAAATTCTTTTGCATATTTTATTAACGCGACATCAAAACGTGGTAGCCAAATCGATCGCTCTGTATATATTTGCGCATGATTGCGATTTCTTCGACTAAAAGAAAAATTACCTTAAAATCAACAAATATTTCTTTGATGGGTGCCATTAACATATTTATTAAAATTTAAATTCTCTTTATTTAAATCAAATATTGTATACTTAAATCAGGTAAACAATCAGATTTATTTAAATCAGGTAAATAATATCTGATTTAAATAAAGAGAATTTAGATTTAAATAAATATGTTAATGACACCCATCAAAATATTTCTTGATTTTAAGATAATTTTTCCCTCAGTGTAAGCTTCATAAAAATCTATGTCGTATGTTACAGATCATGATACACTATTCGTTCGATTATCCGGATTATAACTCTGAAATCCAACTGATACAACTAAATAGTCAATATTTTGTGAGCGTCAGTCCCTCGGAAATGTACTCAAAACCCGAAGTGAGAAATTTGGCCATTTCTACGCGACAGTGCATATTCGACGACGAAGCTGACAGTATCATGCATGCAAAAGAGAGAAATTTAAGCTACAGTTCATACACATATCACAACTGTCTCGCAGAATGTCGAGCTACTGTCGTAAGAGAAAAATGCGGATGCATACCTTTTTACTACCCACAAAATAGTAAGTATAATACAAGTTACGACACAAGTACCAGGATAATCAATTAATGTTTAAACGAATCTGTTAGCTACATAGGAAAATATAATATATTAGGAAGAAAACTGATTATCTCCCGAGATTTTTCTAGATCTCCTTGAATTAAATTAAACATATGAATATTTACACGATAGAATAGTGAAAGAAATGTATTGTTTTACTTTCAGGCACCAGAATGTGTAATCTTAGGGATATTCAATGCTTAAAGAAATATAAGTGTAAGTGCGTAAGTTCATAAATACACTATACTTCAGTCAAGCCTTATTCAGTAGACTAGAAGAATTGCCAGCCTTTGGTGTAATAATTAACGAAAAAAATATATATTTTTTAGCACAAATCTGCTGATCGCAGTTTTAGATAATCCGGTCTATTATTAGTCTATCTTTGATTAGAGTAAAAATTAAAAGTATATTGTGATTTTCATGCACTTACCTCTTACAGCGTCCTTCGATACGTCATGGCCAGGAACGAAAATTAATTTTGAAAATGTATCAATATCAACAGATATTACAAGAAGACCATGCAAATGCAAACCGGATTGTTTTTTATATCGTTATGCCATAGAAAGCTCTTTGGGAAAGCTCGACTCTTCTCTTTACTACAGTAACGGCAGTTTCTCGCAGAATCCGCAGTAAATAAACGCTCTATCGTATATTATAACGCGCGCTTTTTTATAATTACAGATACTTTCATGAATTTTGATTGGTAAATTTTTATTTAGTAAATTCTATTTCATACCTAAATTATTGAAATCTATCGCCTTCCTCAAAAATATTTAATACTTTTCGTGAAAATAGTATTTCGTTGTATCTAATTATGAAAAATCTAATTCATGTTGAATTACTTAGACATTTTTGTTCATATTCTCAAGAAATTCATTACATTTTTAGCAAAATGTTCCCGTTAGGGCTTTTATTTCTCTGAAATATCCTGTATAACGTTACGCTTTGCTTACATTTTTGCAGTAACGCCTTTAGTGTAGTCAATCGCAGTATACTACACATATTCTTCAATGATTTGGTGGGCTTTCAATATCGACGCTCAGTCAATTACAGTTGGCGCAATTTGTTTGGTATGTTAAACGCAATCACGTATGAAAGCTTACAGCAAAATAATATCTGCTAATATTTTTAGCATCATTTGGCGGCTTGCTTGGATTGTTTGCTGGATTCAGTCTCATGTCTATCTTTGAATTTCTGTATTTTTTCGTCATACGTGTAATAGCCGACAAATACGTGAATTATACGAAACACAACAGTGTACAATAGCATAATAAAAATATAATTAGTTAACATTATTAACAGTGTCTGAAAATATATCATCAAATAGCGGGTAGTCAAGTATGTAAAATAAAATGACGGGACATACTGAATACGATATATATATATATATATATATATATATATATATATATATATATATATATATATATATATATA